CCCCCCCCCCAACCTCTCAAAAAATTCTAGGCGGCTCCCTCTCATTACCTGCAACAGACGAGGAAAAACACCCAGCCATTTCGATAAAGAAGGATGAATACAAACTTGGCACACACACACGCAAGGTCAAGGTTCGATACCCACGTGAGGTAGGAACATTCCAGAAGGCTTTCTCAGCGATCTATCTATTTAATTGGTCCTGACACACAGCCTCTGACTCAGTCTGTGGCAAGTCGACCGGGAAACTCAAACGAGACACACACCAAAAAAAACCACCAGAAAATCAGGCCACATTTTCGAAGAAAAAAAAGAAGAAAAATTAGCCACAGGGAAAAAGATCCAGAGATGTCAATTTGTGTCACGGCACGATAGAATCAGGCGCTTGTCAAGTTTTGGGCATATGGAGTTATTTGTATTATCTTAAAGCTTGTTTGTGTGTCTTAATTTTGATGAAAAAAATGCCATCTGTCTTGAATAGAGGTCGAAATATTTGAGATTGAAGGAGGTGGGGATCGCCTGGTGTCAAAAGTAAAATTAGCGAGAAAATTACTGCCAACGTTTGGCTATTTTCAAGGCTTCGGTTTCCTCAGAAACTGCAAATTTACATCTTCTTGTGCCTTCTATCAACGTTTTCAATAATGTCTTTTTTAAACGGACATAAACGGTATTGAGCCCCAAAAAATCCTCAAACAACTAACAACAACAACAACTCAACAACAAAGAACAGACCAAAAATTGCCCAAGGGACGGGACAGTGTCAGTTTTTCCGATTCCATTATTTTGACGAGCACCTGATTTCACAACGATGCCACGCATTTTTCTTTCTCTGAAAACAGAATATTATGTGCGAATCAGCGCCACTTTCCACCACCAGTAACCGTGGCGTCGATTGTCGAATGGTCAGGCTAACGAACTCGTAAAAACGAGATTGCGGGTTCGGGGGCTCAAAGCTCCACTCGATCCGACGTTGCGTTTTTTGGAAAAAGAAGTAACAGTCAAACCAGTTAAACCGCCTACCTTCGGACAAGCACGAAGTTGGCGGTGCAGCGGGGCTGGTAGTACAAACATGTTTTCGGGTCCTCTGTTAAATACATGTTGCGCCGACTGCCCAATATCAAAGGAATTTGTTTAATAATCACTAGATGAAATAATGCGTTATCTTCCTTCGATCTGTCATTTTGACATGAGCGAGAGCCGGCACTAAATAAAAGCCCCACAGGTATTTGTCAGCCTGTAAGTTATTTTAGCCTGATATCTGGCGACGCCAGATATTTTGCCATGGGAGGGGGGGGGGGGGGGGGCATGGCGGGGTTCCTTTAAAGTTTCTTCAGACGACTTAAAAATTTCATTCCATTTTTTTAAATGACAAAGGCCTAAATATAATAGCATTTCCATAATCAGCGCATCACGCAGGGAGTGAAATTTCAAAGTTATGTTTTATTTCAATTGTACTCTCCAAGGTTACACATTATTCTGTGTTCGCAGTTCGCTTGCAACACACTACATCACTGTAGGTTATAATAATTGGTCGCACAAGGGGGCTATCCCGAAAAATGCTGTTTTGAGAAAATCGAAGGTAAAGTTTTTGGACCCTTGTTCAGTTCCTTTAAAAGACAAGGAGAGTTTTCTCAATAACCAATCAAATAAACAAACCAATGAAACCAAACTTCTCCTATAAGTAGGGCAATGCCCACTTTGGGTGTAGGTCAAGATTTCTGGAAACTCCCGAAATCGGGGTTAGCCCACTTGTCCTTAAAATCGACCAATTTCCCTACGCGGAAATCGAGGGCGCGTCTTCTGATTATAAGTCAGGGACCTAACCACTACACCACAGGCACCGGTGTCCCGACAGCGATTTATTTTTCTAGTTTTAGATGTCGAAAGAGTTTTACGGCACTTGCAACACAATAAGGTAATGTAGATGCCGATGGTTAGAGGTGTTACGAGAGTAATAAACACAAAAAAGAAGGAGGAAAGATCAGGATGACTGATGTTTGATAGGAAATAAGGAGTAAAAACCACCAGAGCAACCGCTAACCACTTGCGTCGGTAATTTGTGGCGTGAACTATTATAGCACACATTACGGTACAAGCAAGCAGCATTCGTCTAAATAAATATGACTTTTAAGTAATAGGAAAAATCCGACGATTGTTTTGAATAAAGAGAAGCGCATCGACAAAATAAGTCTTTTAGCACCGAAAAAGAGTGACACGGACAAAAAAAAGACAACAACTGACGGAGAGAAAGAAAAAAATCAGGAGCTCCCAGTGGTGTCCTCCTAGTCCTACCATTAGCAACTTTGGTAAACCGACATGAAAAAAAAATGAATGAAGTTTTACCTTTAATAAGAGTATTTACAGCTCTTGCAACAGAAATAGGCCACATAAGACTAGTGATGTTACTAGAGAGCAACACACGAAGAAGAGAAACAGGAAAGGTAAGGACGATAGAAGCAAGATAGCAAAAAAGGAGAACCACAAAGAGCACCCACCAACCATCTACGAACGAGATAAGAAAGATAGATATATTTGATAGGGCAGAAGGAACAAACAACACCAGAGCACCTACCAACAACCCGCAGACAAAAACAACGCACGGGAAGAGCATTCAGAAAGCAATATCAATGGCGTGCATATTCGGCAGTCTCAGAAAGGTGTGGTGTAGTTTGATAGAGGTTTTACTGCGCTTGCAACACTTTTCGTCATAAAAGTGCCAAAGATTAGCGTTACGAGAGTATAAGAGACATAAAAAAGGAGAGAAGCAAAGGGCGACAACAAATTATAGCGATAACAGAAGCGAACCACACAAGATCTCCCATGATGCAAAAGGTAAAAATTAAAATTTCTAGTTCAACTAGAAAAACATGAAATGAAAGCAGACAAACTTAACATGACAGTTTAAAGGAAAGGTCGAGTACAGACAGACAGACAGGAAGACAGGAAGACAGACAGACAGACAACAGACAGACAGACAGACAGACAGACAGACAGACAGACAGACAGACAGACAGACAGACAGACAGACAGACAGACACACAGGTGGAGATAGAACAAATAGGAAGACAGAAGACACAGACTGGCATGAAAACAGAAGACAAAAGACATGGACAGACAGGAAACTGACAGACACATGGACAGACAGACAGTATAGCAGATGGAGACAGACAGACAGACAGACAGACAGACAGACAGACAGACAGACAGACAGACAGACAGACAGACAGACAGACAGACAGACAGACAGACAAAAAGCAAACACAGACAGCCAGACAAAGGAAGACAGACAGACAGCTACACAGTCAGACAGACAGACAGCTAGACAGACAGAGAGACAGTCAGACAGACAGACAGCTAGACAGACAGAGAGACAGTCAGACAGACAGACAGCTAGACAGACAGAGAGACAGACAGGTGGAAATAGAACAAATAGGAAGACAGAAGACACAGACTGACATGACAACAGAAGACAAAAGACACAGACAGACAGGAAAACTGACAGACACATAGACAGACAGACAGTACAGTAGACGGAGACAGAACAAAGTAAGACAGACATACAGACACATAGACAGACAGAGCAAATAGGAAGCAAGAGAGAGACAGACAGACAGACAGAGAGACAGACAGACAGATAATGGTTTACTCACCTAGGTCCGTTAATCTCCTCCTGTACATGTCTGTTGAGGTGTAGCGTGTCCCTTACGACCTGAGCCACTTGGTCTGTGGTTCGAGTCATGTGACAGGGAAGCTGGTCCTCAGGCTATACGAGCAATAGAGAGATTTAGTAGTTTTACGGCACTTGTAACGCAATTAGGTATAAAGTGCTGAAGATATGAGATGCTACAAGAGAGTAACAAACACATAATAGAAGGAGGAGAGACAAGGATGATAGATGTTTGATTATACAATAAAGTTATATAAATGCTGCAGGTTAGAGGTGTTACAAGACAGTAACAAACCCATAAAAGAAGGAGGAAAGATTGGGATGATAGATGTTTGATAGGAAAGAACGAGCAAACTACACCAGCACACCTGCCAACCACCAACAGAGATTTAGTTTAGAAATGGGCTTTATATTATGACAGGCTATCAGATAGTTGAGTTCTCGCAAATACTTACATTCTAAAACAAAAATAAGATAATACGAAGCTGTGGGTATTGGGAAATCCAGTGGGTCAACTTGTATCAGCAAATCTGAATCAATTTCTACATATTATAATCTTCCCCAATGTCAAAGGCTGCAAACAACAGTAAAGCGAAGTACAGTAGACCCTGCTCTTACAGCTACCTGTCCAAGACAATCACCTGTGCAAACAACCACTTCCACCTTCCCCCCTCGTGGGTTTTTCCTATGTTATGATGACACTCTCCGAGATGTCTTTCCGGTACACATTTTTCTCCTTGACAAAAGGCAGCCTTGCTGGACAATTTCATCTATAATTATATTGTTTTCTGGTTAAGAATTATGTCTGTTGTGTTTGTGGTTTATGGTACATCCTGCACAAGATAGTTGCTGGAGGTAATAAATGAATGGCTATGGCTGGTCCTGAACTTGGTTTAAAAAAGACGAGTGTTGGTCAGGGGAGTGAAAACACCCTCTCATCATAACAGAAAAACCCAGCCAAAACGCCAATAAGCTTTTGCTGTGATTTGGGACCAAGTGAAATATGCTTTCAAGCTACACAAATATGTTATTAGAGCATGCGCTATCAAGACATTACTGTAAATAACTCTGTTATGATATATCTCTGGTAGTAGTAGTAGTAACAGTTTTACCGTGCTCACAACTACATTATATATCTCTGTCGATTTTAGCAGTTGATTTTTTATTTAGTAGAGGTTTTACGGCACTCGAAACTGCATTAGGTCATATAAGCGCCAAGGGGAGGATGTCAGCAGAGAAGTCCTTACAGGGAATCAGGCTTACTCTGCTCACCTCTCTAGCTTCAACAGCACAAAGTCTGTTTTGACATTCAAGGACCCGGAAATAGCGGGTCAGAAGAGTGTGACAAACATACAAAAGAAGTAGAGGAAAAATGCCAATCAATAGTAAGGATTAGGAAAGAAAAAGCAGAAGTTCCCTGTTGTAGATCAGGCACAGTTATGAGCGTGACATTGATGAATGAGCCCACCTACAATTCTACTGCGCATGATCATATGAACGAGAAATGTCTCCCATTTGGGAATGGCCTAAAGACACTTCAGTCAGTGGTATCGCCCGCGGGGGTAAGCAGTTGTTTTGACGGGGATGAGAAACATTTACATTTTTTAAAATCAATAATGGCAAGCCTGTTTAACCCAAAGAGGTATAGATAGTACTATTTATAACCTCTTCGGTTTGATCACATTTAGAAAAGAAAAACTGAACAAAGGGAAGTATCCTAGTATTTGGGACCAAGAAAAATGTGATTGCTTGGTTGAGTCACTTTTAACATTTGACTCTTCTATTAACTCAAATTAGATCATTACTACTTCAACAACCAAAGGTATCTGCAGAACAGAAATTAAACAACTGTAATATTCACAGTCATCACTAATAATTAATAAACATAAATTCTAAAAATTATTAGGTGTTCATTCTTATAAAACAAAAAAAACAAACATCAACAAAAAGGAGGCAGGTTTACATATAGATATCTCAAACAATTCTATCCCTTTGACATTTCTGCTACACACCTTCTCTTAGACTTCAGCTTTTACTTTTCTATTTTTAGTTTTAGTAGAGGTTTAATGGCACTCGCAACTGCATAAGGTCATATGAGCGCCAGAAGATTAAAGGTGTTACAAGAGAGTAACAAACATAAAAAAGAAGATGGGGAGAAAAGGACGATAGATGTTTGATAGGAAAGAAAAAGCAAACCACACCAGAGCACCCGCCAACCACCCACTTACTCTTTTATGAATAATTGCAAAACATTGGAACCACAAGACACAATCCATCAGTCAACAACAACAACAACACCAACAACAATTCCTAACACACTACCTGACAGTGAGCATGACAAAAGAAGATAGAGGATTGAATAGAGCACTGGAACAACGGCAAAGGAATCTCAGAAAATCCCTAGGAGACGCTCAGCCTTATTTTACAATTGCAAAGCTAAGGTTTGCTATCTCCCCACTGAAAACCTGACCAGCACCTGGCCCTGACAATATCTCTCCAAGCTCCTTGAAACACCTAGACCCAAAAGCCCTTGAGAAGCTTTTTCTCATCTTCAACATGACCTTCCACTCAGTGGACAGCAATTTTTTCTGGGATGACAACAAAATGAAATATTACCTGAAGGAGGCAGTGACCTGGACGAGAAACTCTTCTCAGGGTCAAAGATAGGTGCAAAACCTAAATACATCAGCGACACACACACACACACAACAACAACAACAACAACAACAACAACAACAACAACAAAAAGAGCAGATTACAACACAACAGCAAGTTCACCTTAATCCAAACAGTCTCGTTCATGAAGGAGAAAGGCATGGGTCTCTCATCGCCTGGCTTCACCTCCGTACAGCTGAAGTCAATGCTTCTTTTGTCCAGTCTAGGAGGTGTACCTGAAACAAAGTTTAGGGGTGTTGAGTAGCAATATCAAGACCTACCCTCTGATGGCCACTAGTCCAGGATAATCACCACTTCCCACCCCCCCCCTCTTACATTTTTTTACACTATGACATCCATCTGTCTAAAACAACCACTTTTCTCCTCAGCTATGGGTGGCCATATTGGACAATTTCAACTCCACTTTTTACAAAAACAACGTGAGACGAGAGAAGTTTGTCATAGCCTAGGCCATTGTCAATTTACACTTTCTGAAAGCAGCTGATAATATATGGCGAAAACTTGTGCACCAACCTGTTTTGAGTCGGCCCATGGTGAACCCAGCTTTCTCAATTGTCCTGGCTAGACCAACAGCAGGTTCATCTCCAATCCTCCCTGCAGGTCGTTGAGTTAGGCCGATGTTGATGCTACCACGGAGGAAGGTCCCAGCCGTCAACACGACCGTCGAAGAGGGAATAACTTCCCCAGAATCTGCAAGAACCACAAAAACAAATACAAAATAAGCTACATCTGAAAGCTAAACTAGGGTTAAGTTAAAGTCAATGTTAACATATTTCTTAATCAGGTACAAAGAAAGGAGAGGCCGGCTAACCTCATGCAGTAGCAAGCGCTGTAAAACTCTTACCAAAACAAATCAACAAGTGATAAAGGTCCTACACTCACCCAGAACAACCCCACAGCACTGCACGCTGGAGCCAGACTCCGATGGACCTTCTCAAGTGACCAGATCCTCCACGGCTGCAGCGAGCACAGTCAGGTTGGGTGTAGCAAAAACCTCCTCTTGAACCTGGCGCTTGTATAGTTCTCGATCAATCTGAGCTCGAGGACCCTGAGAATACAGAGATTACAGCGCATCTTCCAGCAGATCAAATAAGCACAAATACGGTTAATCCAAATATTTAATGCTTCGTTAAGATAGAGGAGTCTTCAAAAGAACCCCATTAAACATCCATTTATACATGACCCTTTCCACACTTCAAGAATGTAAGACACAACCCCCTACCCCATGCTTTCGCAATCTTCAAGCTGAATTTCCATAGATTTTGTATGTGACACAAGTATACCAGATACATTCATGTATAATGCTGTTTATTTGAAGGCATACTAAAAACCATTAAAGCAGTCCCTTCTCAGTTGCTGAACTAAATTGGAAATACAAAAAAGCCCGCACGACCGAGAAGCTGAGCTGATCTGGAATATAAACCTCAGTAGCAGAAATTCATTTGTAATTCTTACTTTATTTTGACTAGGAGCATTCCTTATAATATGTTTCCAAACATTCACCAAATCATGCTTTCAGCTGCACACATTGAATCAAATGCAGTATGTAAAACAAAAGAATATGTGTCATGCCGTGGTTGAATCAGGTGCTCGTCAATTTTTTAGTATGGGGTTATTGGTATCATCTTAAAGCCTATTCATTTGCCTTCGTTTCGGTGAAAAAATATCCATCAATGTTGAATAGAAGTCGAAATATTTGCGATTAAAGAAAGTCAGGGTGGTCTGGTTTCAGAGGTAAAATTAGCGAGAAAATGGCCGCTCAAGTCAGGTAACTTCCATAGCCTGGGAATCTTTGGCAACTGAAAATTTACATTATTTTTCCAGTAAAATCAACACAAAAATGTGTTTTTAAATGGACATTAAAGGTGTTGAGCAAAAAAAAGAAAATTAGAAAGAAAATGGCAATCGGCCAAAAAATGTCAATTTCTTTGACTTCAATTTTTATGAGCGCATGATTTCACCACGATGACTCACATATGTGTTTCAAATTTCTCATACACAAAAAAACAACAATGAACACTTACCCAAACTGCAGGACCTTTCTTCTTGTTGAGCATCTTGTACTGAACCCCTGATTTGTCTGACAAGGAGATGAAAGAAAGAACAAGAAAGATACGATTTAGTCGAACATCAGCTCATAATAGTCATTCATGAGATGTCGAAGAAAATTTTCATAAAAAATGGTCATAACTTTCATACAAATGGTAAAGTGAAAGCAATACAGGAATTCAAAATGAAGTCCAAAAGGTAGGAATGTCATTAACTTACCACATATTCTGGCACATACTCCTCCTAAAGCATCAATTTCTTTCATCAGATGTCCCTTCCCAATGCCACCAAAAGATGGGTTGCATGACATTTCTCCTGCAACAAACATTATAACAATTGTTATATTCTTGTGCCCATATAAAAAAAGAAGCTGCATTCAGAGTTGTCAAAAGGAACAATCTGCTTCTATATTTTTCAGATCTTCCTTGTTTGAAGAGCATTTAGGCAGGGTGGGACTGTCAGACACAAACATTTTATGAGGAAGTCCAGCCTCTTAAATGACCATATCTCCATCATCATTATCACCTTTTAAAGAAATATGACATAAAAGAAATTGTCAAGAAAATTGACTAAAGCATAAGAACAGAAATAAGTTCAAAATTTTATAATACATATCAACAAAAGATCCAAAATCTTGTCAAGAAGCTTTAACGAGGAGAAATTAATCATGTCCCCACCATCAATTACTAAAGAGCAGCTAATTTTTAAATTATGCTTAAATTCAGGTCAAGGAGAAAAGACAAGTTAATGTACCAATGGTGCTCAGTTTGTGCGTCAGCAGCAGTGTGTTGACTCCCATTCTCGCTGAAGCACACGCAGCCTCGGTTCCTGCATGACCTCCTCCCACAACAATCACATCAAATGTGTTCTCATTCTTACGCTCTGCTGCATTAGAAAGATACCTGATGAGAGATCATGTTGCATATCTAAAAGCATAAATATCACAGAGCCATGCACAGTTTATGAATCAAAATGATCAAGCACAGTTCTGAACAACCAGTGTCTGTGGTGTAGCCGTTATGTACTTCCGTGTCAAAAACAGGAGACCAGAGATTGATTCACGAGTTGGGAGAAATGTTTATCGAATATCTCTGGCTTTCTGCTGCGA